TGTGCAATGAAGCGTTTTTGCCGCCTCTGTTCGGACTAGTGTGGACGCAAAACATTTTGTCCGTTTTCATGTGTGGACGGAAAACTTTTTTTTTCGGTTTTGGGTGTGAAAGTTGCGGATTCAAATTTACCCGGCATAGTGTGGACGGGGTCTAAGTAAAATAATTGGATCCCGCATTTCTTGTGGTTTTCTGACAGGAAACTCAGTTTTTAGGCGAATACAAACTGCCGCTGATGCAATGAAATGACGCCATATTAAGGCACGAAACAGAAAATGATCTGCTTTCGATTCTAGCTCTCTCGCAAAGCCCTTTGAGTCTTCAATTTTTCGACGGTTTCCAGAAACGGCCGAGTGAGAGACTATGGAAGAGCCTTCCCAGATACTAAAAGTAACGTGAGCTATCTGATTTTAAGCACTACTTACACGCATGCGTAGTAAAATTTTAATTTTGATTCAAATTAAAAGGACAAGTATAATTCAGCCCTTATTTGGATAGATGTTTGGATTAACAAACTGTGTAAGTGAGCACCAGATGTTCAATTTTGTATTCTATTTGAAATTCAAGCTTATGAAGTCCACTGAATTGTTCGCTAAACCAAAAATAAAAATCTTCGGCCGCCTCGGGATTGACTTTGAAATTTAAGAAGAACTTGAATTTCGCCATGGACACCAAATTTGGCTTCTCACTTTTCATTCTACTCTTGTGGACCTGTAAGCTATAAATATATACCTTTCCTTTTACCAGATGTTTATAACTTAAGTCATAGGAAAATACTCGATATTTTGCTTCAATAACCAAATTTTACACTTAAGTCAAAAGATATTCAATTCATTTATAAACTTTCAGTTGAATTTCCAAAGTCGACTTTAGTTTTTAGACTTCTTAGCTATGAAATTTCACTCCGAAAATATTGTGAAGTAGTTTGTTTAAATACTTGAAATAAATTCTTAATTCAGCCTTGACGTATTTCGCTCAGGGATCAAAAAATCGTAAAAAGCCTTTTTTGCTATTAATTCTTTGTTATTCAGCTTTTTCAAGTTTCAAAATTACTCTCGCGAACAATCGACGCTACCACGGCTTGGAATTTGCAGCTCTAGTCATCGCCGTAAATTATATCGAGAACCGAAGACTAGGCCATGAAAGCAGTGTTCTTAAGCTAAACGATGGATTTACATGCATTCTATCTGTTCTTACCATTACTGCTATTTTCATCAACATGCAAAATCTATATCTGCGTGCTGCACGCTGAAATTTGGTTTTTCGCTACCGCCAGTCAAAAATATGAAAGGTGCTGACTGATTTGGTGTGATTGGTGGCAGCGAAAAACCAAATTTCAGTGTCCAGCTCGCAGACTCAGAGTTTGCATGTTGATGAAAATAGCAGAAAACTGATGAAACATTTTGCAAAGCTATGCAATATAGTAATTTTTTAACCGAATATGATCGAAATGCAAAACTCAATGCAGAATATTCAGTTCAGTATTATCAACGTAAACAATAAAAAAACAAAAAACAAAAAAAACAAAAAAAAACTATAAGGCTCAGTTAGTTTGGGTTTTTAAATTTATTTTAAGACAAAGACATGTAAGTTTATTCATGGCATTGCGTGTGTTTCTATCTTTTTCCTTTTTTCACTCTTTCCTTTCTTTCTTTTTTCTTCCTTCCCGACTTTGTTTGTTCTTTGGTTTCTTCCAACCTTTCGTCGTTCGTTAGTTGTTGTTGTTATTTTTTCCTTTCTTTCTTTCTTTTTCTTGTTCTTTCCAGGTGTGTCTATAGTTTTAATACTCTTCTTTAGTATGTTTTCCCTTTTTTCTCTTTTCCTTTCCAACATTTTTTCTTCTTCCTAATTTGCTTTTTTCCTTCTCTTCCTTTATTCTGTAACGTTCTTACGTTCATGTCATTACTCCTTTCTCGAGACAGATGTTCGTAGCCGATGCATAATTAGCAATTAGTCCTCGAGCCCGAATGAACTATTGGGTCAATAGCCCATGAGCTTGAGGCCGAAGGCTGAAGATTTCTTACATGTTCTAACACATTTGAATAATTGGTTTGTTTCTACTGCGCACTTGCTTTGCCGATTATCCTGCTACTCATTTGATAAACCCCACGTCGCATTTTATTACAATACAAAACCCTCGTGAGTCTAAAATATATAACTGAACACCCAAAAGACAATCGTGAAAATTTGCATATAAACAGCTTCATAAAAGAAGTGGATTAGATTTTATTAAAGATAAAGATAAGTTGAACCAATGTTTATGAAGAAAATGGAATTAGAAATAGACTTTGTTGAACTGAAAGCAAACTTCTTACAGGATTTCAGTTGACGTTTTTTATGCTATAGGAAGGAAGGAAGGAAGGAAGGAAGGAAGGAAGGAAAGATTAAATGAATAAAGAATTGAAAAAACAACAACAACAACAACAGCGAAGAACAA